GTTAACCGCATCGGATGAACTTGCTCAGGTGAGAATTACTCACCCCAGAGGAATAGGCAGTAAACGTATTTGCAATTTTAGACCATGTCATGTGAGGACATATCACACATGATGTATCATGTGTTGCTGTCCTATAGCATGTCCTTTTCTGCTGTCAAATTCTGCTCTTTTACATCATGTCATATCACACGACGACTTTTTCAGTACATCCTCAGTCCCATGTTGAACCCTGTTTCGCGTGACAGGCGTGGTACTTTATGTATGTCGTATGTTTCCTACTGATACTTGCGCTTTACCACATACCGCATCCAAGCCTCCAAAGGCCGAAACAGCGACTAGCATTGCCAAAACTCGAGTTTTAAGCACTTCCCACCCGTAAAAAGGAGAAACAAAACATAGGGTTAACAAATACAACCCGAAGCTTGTTTCATGTGGCAGGCGCGGTAGATTCCAACTTAATGCCTCTTTCCAAAGGCGCAATAATCCCCCCATGGGGTTGTTTGCCTTCGTCTTATCCTTTGGAGTCGATACTTGTACCGAGGTATCGACGAGGGTCTGGTGAAGGCACCTGCGATGTGCGGCTTTCAGCGTGGATACTGCACACGGGAATCGACGCTGAAGCCCATCAACCCTGAAAAGAGCTGCCATGTGATCGTGCATGTATAGTGTGGGTGGTAACAGAGCTAGACTTGGCGAGTGTCACCCCGGGCCTCGCAGCTTTGTTGCGAACGCAGGACTGGAATGAGCACGCATTCTCCGACACAAAGGCCACGGATGGGGCTTGCTGTTGAGCCAAAACCCTGAAGGCGGTCAGGGAAGTGGCGATCGGACGATCGAGCTTAGTATAGGTCCCTTTCTGCGACACCCTCAAACATTCAAGTAAGTGGACGGTGATCTTAGGACTTGTTTGTGGACAGAGCCCACAAAGCAACCCGGACGTGCAGGTTGACATCATGGACCGCATAGTCGAGGCTGACCCGAAGTTTTTGCCCTTCCGGGGCTGACAACATCTTGCAAGATTGAGGAGCATCTCATATCTCAAGCTTAAACTTAAACCCTAAACGGCCCTAAACCAAGAACCGAATCGGCTACAGATGTTTTGAGTGTTTGCGGAAGCCATGCCCCATCCGATCCCTTTCTCCCCCAGCTATTCATGCAGTGGGGTGGGGCTGAGCCCGAAGAAGCTTTGTGCGAAATTCAGGCTGAGCTTCCGTTCGAAGACAGGAAGACAGCTCAATTCCTCGAAACTGCTGAACTCGAGACCCGGGGTCAAGAAGCCCGCCATGCTTCCTGAGTTAGATGGTCTTCTCCGGGATAGGCATTCTGTTTGCACTCCGTGTTTCCAACCCCCGTTCCGGAACCCTGTGTTCAGGTCAATGGCATACGTGGCAACATCCACCCGATGGCACGAGAGTGCGAGGAGAACAAGGCATGTCTGCCCGAAAAGTTTGACTGCCCCAGGCTCGCAAGATCTTGTAGGCCTGGAAGCCTCAAACCCTCATTCTTGGGGAGTGCTGTCGCCGTCGCCAGTTGCAAGAGCATCCTGCCTCTGAGAGGTGCTTCGCCTGAGGATTGCCAAGCGTAGCTAAAAGCTTCCATTGGCGTCAATGTAAATGAACTCGCCAGGAACGTGTAGCGGGCTGCAAAGCAAGCCAACTACTCCAGGCACATCGAAAAATACGAGGCTCGTATCTAACGATTAGATTTATTAATCTAGAATTTTTACACATACACACACACACANNATATATATATATATTTCTATGCGAATTAAAAAAACAACCCCAGAAATCTTACAACTACTTTTCGACTTCGGAACTTTCAGGACCATAATGGGATCGAGAAGGCGGCCGGAGGGATCGATAAATTCAGAAAGAATGAGATAGAATGAGATTTTATATTTCGGTAATTTAGAACAGTTATTTGGGAATCATCTTGGTCAATCTTATCTAGAGATTATCTTTTAGATTGAGGTTGAACAAATTTAATAGAAATCTTGGTCTTCTTTAATTGGGATAAGATTTTAAGATTACTTGATTAATTTTCTTTTATAGTTAATCCCTATTCTCGATTTTAAGAATCTATATATAAGAACTATATCTTATAATAGATATATGAATAGAAATTCTTGTATAATTAAATAATTCTATATTTATATATTTAATTATATAAATAAAATTAATGAATATCTTTTTATATTATATTTTGGACAAATAATTTCTTATAATTATATGATTCATTATATTATAAATTAGAATCATTAATTAAAAATTATATTTATAAATATATTTATTTTTTTTATTTATTTA